TGAGTCAGTATCTGTGTTACTGTTAGTGGCTTTATGCTCTGAGTATAGTGTTTGTCTATACCCTGTGGCAAGCGGAGGGGGAGGCCCACAGGAAGGCAAAAATCCCTATTGGTGGAAGGAACCATTTCCTGTTTAGAGCCATTTCCTGCTTGGATCCACTTCCTGCTCAGATCTACTTCCTGCATGGATCAACTTCCTGCTCAGAGTCACTTCCTCTTTAGAATATTGAGTAAAAAATGGCTGCCATTGTACTTATAGAAGTATATTTTGCTCCTTTTCTCGGTCCTTTTTCCCAGGGTATACTGCCCAACCATCTCATTTCCAATGATGTAAGTAATGTTTGCAAGACACAAGATGTTGAAAACCCCTTCCCTTCTTTATTAACCTATGAGAATGGAGACTGAATCTATACCAGTGATGGCATCATCTAGCCCCTACACTACATGCATTTAGATGCCTGGTTTACCTGTATGTCTAAGCTAGGGTCCTTATGCCCACGCAGCTGCTGTGGGCCATCTCCCTGGCACATGCTCCTTAGTGATACTAATTAGGCAGGCACACCCACTTGCCTTGGCATGTTTTAAAGATGACCCAAGCTGCAAACACCAACATGTATAAGACATATGCTCTCTTTTTTGTGTAAATTCAGGCACCAAAATATGCCTACACGTAGGGGTGTGTGCATACAGACACATGCGTATTCTTTTTTGCCTGGTAGAAATATGCTTCTGTGATGTTCCTTCTACTCCCACACATGCCCCTCCATGGCTGGCACATCTCCTAATTATTCCCATCTACTCCCTCCCCATAGACCTTTTGTGTGTATATTTTGGCAGACGTTCTCTTGATTCTTCCTAGTTTCTCTCTCTCTCTCTTTTTCTTTCCCTGTCTCCCTCCCTCTCCCTCCTCTTCACAACTCCTTAGAAAATTTGTTAAACTATACACTCTTTATTATTAGTGTACATTTATGAAAAATTCTTCACTGTTACAAAAGTGCATGGTTATAAAATCATCTCCGTACAAAGATTGGCATCTTCCCTTTCCCCACCCCTCCCTAACCCTCCCACCCCCAGACATCAGCATTCCACAGGACAATGCTTAGAAAAACTGAGAGCTCAGTGGATCCAGAGCTCTTGACCGAGTGCTATGGCAAACATGGTGGTGATTTACACAGGACCTTTCAATTTGCCTCCTTCATTTCCCTTTTGCCTCCTTCTGAGGTGGGTAGAGCAGACAAGTTTCTCTAGTTCAGGAAATTGTTCTTCTGTGGAATGGGTAAAGACATCTCCTTATACTCTTCTAGAGCTGAAAAGGATGTCAGAGCAATATCACTGAAGACATCTATAAGGAAAATGAAGGTTTTAGGTCTTTCCTGATGGTTGAAGAGAAATACCTTCCGTAGTCTATTCAAATTGCGTATACCATCTTCCTTGAAAGGAGCTAGCAAACTCTATAGCAACTCTGGGGACTTATTTGTGCAGGATTTCCTGGTAATCCCAATGGGAATGGAGAAACAGGTGAGGGTTTGTCTGAGGGCAACCAGAAGCAACTGGTCCAGAGTGGTGTGGTGCAGATTGGGGTCTTTTCTAAAGAACAATTTTCTTGGTCCAGGCTTTGACCAACCCTGTTGGTTAGCTAAACTTTGATATCCTCAAGCCCAGCATGAAGGAAGCTTATGTGGTAGGACAATTCTCTGAGGGACAGAGAATGGAGGGAAGCAGTCAGACTGTTGCTAGGTTGCCTCAGCCACATATTTCTCCCTTTTTATATTTTTCTGAGCAGCTATCCCTAACCCAACCCTAATGGGATTCCATCTTAGTGTATCAAGTGATGCAGTAAACAGATGGCTGAGTATACTGTGTCAGAGAACTGAACTCAAGTTCCAGAGGAGTTGGCCCCATGTCAGTAGATACACAATGTACATGGAACCTCATGAACAGACACATGGACTCAGAGATACCCCAACACTTACATTTAACTAGTCTGGAAAACACATAGTCAAGGTTTGTAGGAATACCACCATGGTTTCTTGGTTAGCAGGGTTGTGTGCACTTTTACAACTAGCGCAATTCTATTTCTTCTATAAAAGTGTGCTTCTAGAAGCTTGCTTCTGATAGCCTGCACAAGATGGTGGTGGTAGTGGTGGGCGACATGGGATTCCTTGGCAGGCAAGGAGTTTTATCATTGTGCTTTAAGTTAACTGAGGACCTTCTAGCAGCTGGAGAAGAATCTGTTCTTTAAATGTCATGTATCCTACTCAGAAAGGTTTGCCATGAATGGGGACTAAATAGTCTCATTAGAAAGGACATTTGAATTCAAGGGGCATTTGGTGTCTTGTTTGGTTCTAGTTCTATGCAAAAAGATACATATCTTAAAATATATTAACTATATTTCAGCAAATAAGAGTCTCTAGGAGATTATAATAGATGTATATGGTGGCCCTCTCTGGGAGGCTATTTGCATCAAGACTATTATTTCTAGAAGTTCTTCTCCAAATACATTAGGTTGTTAGCTTGACTGGTGAAGAGCAGCCTGGATATAGTGGAAGAAGAGAGCAGGTATGGTTCTGCTCCAGATGTCACAGGAGCAGGCTCTTGCCCAAATGTTAGTGAGATGCAGGGGATACAAGGTTCAAGTACCCCAGGTCCAGCAGTTTCTGGGTGCTCTTTTGGTTGACTAGCTCAGGGAAGCATGAGTAAGTGAAGACTTCGTGGAAGTTGACATGTTATTTTCCTTTATTCCTTTTCCAGGAGGATGAGATGATGCAAAATTGTTGGAGCTGGGGGGCAAGGTAGAAAGCCCCTGTTTTAATTTTTATCCTGGCCAGCCTTACCAACATGTTGGACGGTGCCTTAATGTTTTCCCCTATCCTGCTGAGGTTCTCACCCCACAGCTCTCCTGCACCCTTTGTATCTCTTGAAACACAATACAGCAGAGCTTGAGTAGGAGGGGTTAGCACAGCTTCCTCTCTTGTTTCCCAAAGAACTTCATTTTTTGCATGACTACCACCATGGATGCTAGTTCTAATGTGTTATTTACACTTTGCAAGGCAGATGACTCCTATTCAGGTGCTATTTGCACTGCTTCTATGTTTCAGAGGCTGCGACTTGCTCTATGGTGAGGGCATCTCGATTTGTGTAGCAGCTGGTTTACTGCCTTTTATTTAGAGGACCTACGGGACATTTATGGCTGCTGAATCCAAGAGCCCCACTACCCAGCCATCATGGGCTTTCTTTTCCCCAAGCACCTGGCAAAGCTGGAGAGAGAACCGAGTTGAAGTTGAGTCCCAACTTTACTGCTTTGGCAATTCATGCCTGCTCTTGAGTCTGTATTTTCCAGCCTGTAAAATAGGAGTAATTATGTTTGGTTTGCCTCCCACAGAGGGTTGTGAAGAGTCAAGAATGATGCTAACAGCATGTTAGGAGCTGTCCAGTGCTGAACAAATACAGGGAAGCAGCTGATGAGGCTGACAAGGCTGATGACGAGGATGAAGATGACAGCAGCAATGATGATAATACTGCTTTGCACATGAAGTTGCTTGCTTTTTGATGGACTGACTAGACACAGTTTCCCTAAATGGAGTTGCCTATCACTTTCCTTCTAGAGTTTACCCAGATAACCTTGGGTAAGATACCTAGCTCTCTACAATTAATTCATCTGTAAAATGGGAATAATAAAGACCACCAGGCAGTGTTGCTATGAGAATTGAAATAGGTGAGTCAGTAGATTTAAAAGTGCCCCAAAGAGTGCTTGGTCATTATTGGGAGCACTTACTCATCAGCACTACTGGAACTCAGACTTAATGTAATTTTAGAGGGAACTGTGATGTTCCCCAGCTTGGATAGGGTAGAAAGAGCACAGACTTTATTTTGCTTGTTAAGCAACATGTAACTATATTTAAACTCTCTTTGAGCCTTTGTTTCCTCCTCTATACAATGGGAACAGCAATGCTTACCTCACAAGAATGTGTGGATTAAAATGGAATTGTCTGTGGAGAGAGCTTATCACAGTGCCTGACACTGGCAAGTGTTTGGTAATTAATAGCTCTCATACCCTGATGCCTAAATGAGTGAATTCCTTGGGAGAAAGAGAAAATCTCCTATAGTCATAACTGTGGTGGCCTCCTCCTCCTTCAGTCTTGGCTACCCTCATGCTACAGTGCACTTTTCTGGTGAGATCCTTTGGCGTGAGCACTGTGGCAAGAACAGTCACAAGATTAGGAGTTCCAAGGTGCTAAGACTCTTGCTGCCTCATTGCTGGACCTCTTGCTTCCCTCTTCTGAAACCAAAGCTTGAGTGAGAAGCAGGAGACAAGGGTAGGTACTTCAGCTTGGTACCTGGACCTCACGGGCAGGCTGCACTTGGTGGATATAGTATGGAGGCAGTCAGTAGGAGGTGTTCTCACCTGGTAGCCCCTGGCAGGAGGCCTAGGGGACGGGCACAGAGGTGTTCTCTCCCTCTGGAGGCAGTGGTGGGCAACTCCAGGATCTGAAAGATTGGGTGTCAGAGGGAAGTTTTGGTCCTGTGCCACACCTGCTCTATACACTTAAGTCACAAGGATTGGTCGCTGTTCTCAACACACCATGCATATTTTGGCCTCTGTCATTTGCTCATGTCCACCCTTCATTGTCTACCTGACAAAGCAGACATTTTTTGATGACTCAGTTCACAAATTGCGTCCATTCTTGTAATTCTCTTGGACTTTTCCAAGCACAGTTGATGATCATTCCTCTGGGCTTTCATAACTATGAGCTGAGAGTGTTGACAAATTGTCTTAAAGGGAATAGTTTTTGAATCTCTCTCTTCCATTAGAGGTAAAAGCCTTAGGACAGAGTCATTGGACATTTCCAATTCTGCCACAGTGTCTGGCCCAGAGTTGAAGATCACACAAATGTAGTTTCCTGACCTTGTTTGGGTCATGACAGAGGTGACCAGGGTACCAAGAGCCAGACTGAGCGGTGTCTGGGAGCCAGCAGCATGGAGGGACATCAGGTGCCCACATCAAATCTCTTCCTCTTCACTGGCCTTGCTCCAACGGTGGCAGCAGTTGGCTGTGATACCCAGGAGGAAGTTGGTGGCCACAGAGGCAATGGAGACCACAAAGCCCACAAATGCGATGAAGAGGTAATCATCCAGGGTCAGGGTCAGGTGGCAGGCCTTGAAGCTCTCCTCAGTGAGGGAGAAGAGTGGGGCGCCCTCAACTTCAGGGGGGCCCCGGCACTCAGCCAGCTGAGAATCTGCAACACAGAACCCGGAAATGGTGAGGGGCCGGGGAGAAAGAGAATGGAATGGATAGTCCTCCACACTTCCCAAGAGAATTTGAGATTTTTTTTTTAAAAATTGAGTTTCTTCTATGTGTCAAAAATTTTACTTACCTTCTTTACTCTCTTCAACAACCCTTGAATCAAATGTTTTTATACCAATTTTTATGGTCGTGGAGATCACTGCTCAGGGAGTTTAGTAACTTGCCTCTCCGGTCCAGTAGTCATTGCTGATGGTAGATCTGGGGCTTTCATGGGACATCATCATCTCTTACAGTAACCTCCTAACTGGTTTATGCCTTCTGCCTTGAAACCATCTTGACATAGTTCACTCAGTATTTTTCATACCTGAAGTCCTGTCATGTACTCTGTGCTTGAAGCCCTCCCCTGACTTCTTACCTTCCCATGGAATGAAAGCCAAGGTCCTACCTGTGGTCCTCACTTCTTATCTCTATCCCTTTTCTCCTTGTTCACTCTGTTCCGTCTACACACACCTTCTGATCATTCTTCCTTCACCATAAGAACGTCCCTTTTCAGGGTGTAAAGGGAGAGCTATTGTATTTGTCTCATTTATCCCCTGAATCTCAACACAGCTCCGTCCCTTCCTTCCTTGGGGACTTTGCTCAAATATCACTTTATTAATGGGGTCTTTCTAAATGATTGTTTATAACATAGTAACTCCATATCACCTTTCTCTGGGCGTTCCCCACTCTGCTTAATTTTTCTCCATTGTATTTTATCATGTCTTACAGTTTCTTTACTATCTGTCTCCTCCCCCTTAAATATAAGTTTTCCCCATGTTGTCCCCAGTCTCTGAACAGTCTCCTATCTGTGAAAGTGTTGAATGAAACGTTGTTAACTGAATGTGTGGATGGATGACTCTGTCCAACTTTGAAGGATTGTTTTTTTCTACTATCTCATGTGGGTTTTCCAGATATGTAGAGTATAAGATTATGAACATGGGCTGTGAAAATATTGGTCTGGGTTCAAATCCCCTTTCTACCCCACGCTGGTTGTGTGATTGTGGGTGAGTTACTTAACCCCTCTGTGTTTTGCTTTCTTCATCTGTAAAATGAGGATAATAAGAGTATCTATTGCATTGGGTTGTAGTGAGGACTCAATGAATTAACATATATAAATAATATATTCTTGGTGGATAATAAGTACCATGTAAGTGTGTGCTTTGGTTGTTATCCTAAGCTTGTCTCTTGGACAGGTCAGTGACCCTACAGATTCTGCAATTCTGCACATAGACTTCTGTAGGAAGGAGGTCTTTTCTCCATCACTGATGGTCCCTCCTCACCCTTCCAGGGTCACTTGCATGAAGGTTGTCAGTGGTTTCATCTTACTCTGCCTTGGAGGTGAGTGTGGCGTTCAGGCCGTGGTTCTGCCATTCAGTACCAAGCACAGGCTTTCCAGCAGGCAGTCATTTCTTTTCTCAGTGGATAAACATTAATCAAGCTCTCACCATGGGCAATTTTTTTTTTAAACCTTTCTGGCTCTCATGCTTTCCCTCCATAAGAAGGGGATAATTCAACCTAAATTATCTAAGACAGTCATTATGAAGAAGTTTTCTAAATGAGGTGGTACATAAATGCCATTTATTCATCCTGTAGTTTTTGAGGGCAAAGAATAAAATGATAGATTTGATTGACCCTTTTGACAAATGGATGAACATCATTGTCCTTAGAAATGAAGAGTCACTTTTGGGAAGAAGAAGCAGTCTGCTCCAAATTCCAGGTGGAGAGGGTCCCTGTAGGCTACAAGTGCAGTTCTCCAGACCTTGCTCAGGATAAGATCGTGTCTAGAGTTAACCATCAAGGGCTCTCCACTTGGAGCTAAAGATGCTGAACTCCAAATTCTATTATGTGCGTGACTGGGGTGGTGGTGAGACCATGTGACACTGGAGAAAGTGAGGAAACTGAGGGAAATTCGTATGGATCCAGCAGAGGAGGCTCTGAGGGCAGCTGGCAGGACCATGAGGGGATTTGGGATCAGAGCCTGAGGGATAATGAGCCCCTCTGGTAAGTCAAGGACCAGTTGTGAGGTTGAGTATCCCAAACCTTATGTCCCCCTTTGTTGGGGTTTGTCCCAAAACTGTGGATAATAGTGGGAGAAGAAAAAGATGACAAAAGGAAAATGATCGCTTGGTCCTAACCACACTGGCAAGTTCTTTGCACCCAAGAGGAACTGTCCTAGAGAGTACAGTGTGGTGAAAAGTACAGTCTTTGGAGAAAAGGGGACCTAGGTTTCTAGCGTGAGCACTGGGCAGTTACTTTTCCTCTCTGGAACTCGGCTCCCTTATCTGCACTGTCGTGAGGCTGCACAGATGGGATCTTGGACCCCTCTCCTGCTTGAGGGGAGACTGCGCTTCTTCTGAAGGGCAGCTGGGGCCTCAGAGATCACAGGAAAGAGGGAGCCCTGGGAGTCGTGGAAGTTGTGTTACAGAATGCCCTTTCTGTACACAGAACACAGGAGAGAGGAGGGGACGTGCCGCCTGCCAAGGGTGAGCAGGTGGGGAGACCGCTCCAGGCAGTTTCCCCTTATGCCCCCTAGCATTGCCCCATCTCGTGCCGAGCTATTTTGGTCCCAGAGAACTTCCTCCCACAGCTGTGTAGAAACAGTGGAATCGTGACCCACAGCACCCCCCCGCCATTCCCCAAACTATTTTGGTCTTGGGCTCCCCACTCAGTCCTCTTCTCCCTCCTACTTCATTCAGCATCACTCCTTTTGAACACACTCTGAGCCAGGCTCTGGGGAAGCCCCTGAGATGGTGCCCTCAGTTACTTCCTGTTGTTCTACTGCTGGAGGCTAGTGCCAAGGCTCAGTGCTGCCACACAAGAAAGCTGGTGACTAAGGGCCACAACTGAACAGGGCCTGCCTCTGGGGGAGGCCTTTAAGCCGAGGTGATTCAGCCTTCTTCAGTCCCCAGTGCACTCCCAGCTGGGACTGGTTGGTTAAATTGCCACATCCATTTCTTGTCTCAACACCCCACCCCATGCCCAAACCTTGCAGAGTTCTGCTGAGGCCCTTTGGCCAGTCAGAACTCAGCCCTGACTCTTTCTGTTAGCTTTGGACCTGACTCTTCAGGATATAGTCAGAAGGTGGCTAGACTGCCAGGGTTTGAATCCTAACTCCAACACTTAGGGGCTGTGCAGCTTGGGGCAGGTTACCTCTTTGTGCCTTGGTTTCCTTCTCTATAGAGTAGCATGTGTGTGGGCCTCATCATGGTTCTTAACGAGGATGAGATGAGCTAAATATGAAATATGATTAGGATAAAGCATAATAGTAAATACTAAATAGTAAGTACTAAAATAAAGAGTGTTAGCCATTTCTATTTTCTTTTGAGTTTTCCCAGCACTCAGAACACTTAAAAGGCAGAGAGTAGAGTAGAGTAGAATGGGGTTTAGAAGCCAAGTGAACTTGGGTTTTATCCATGGCTCTGCTACTTTCTGAATGAGTGACCCTGGGCAAGTCTTTTCATTGTCCCAGATTTCAGCTTCTTCCCCTGACAGATGGGGGTCATAAAAGCATGGGAGATAATGTGTGCCAAGTTCTCAGGTCAGGGTGAGAGCTCAGCACACACGGTCTCTTATTAACGACTCTTCTTTACTATCTGTCTGCCTCCTTAGGTCCTAAGTGCCACAGAGACAAGGGTGGGGTGTGTTTCTCTAATGAGTGGGTCTGCAGTGTCCAGCACACACAAAACACCTCATGGACGATCCCGGTAGAGTGAAAGGGCTGGTGCACCCAGAGGCCAGTGCAGACCATGTCATGCTCCAGCTGCAAAAAGCTCTTGGTCCCTCCCTGTTTTTTGGAGCCTTTGCTTGCAGTGAGGCGAGACCCTCTGAACCCCACCCCCCCATGCCTGGGCCATCTAGTTCTACCTGCCCGCCTCACCTGCCGTGCAGCGTTGGATCCTGTTCCGTAGCCACTTCAGCAGCGGCTCCATGGTACAGCCACACACCCAGGGGTTGCCGCCGATCTGCAGGGTCACCAGCCCCGGCAGGCCCTCAAGGGCCTCGAGGCTGAGGAAGGCCAGGCCCCCGTAGCTGAGGTCCAGATCTCGGAGCTGCACCAGGCCCTGGAAGGCCTGGGGGTGCACCCTGCGCAGCCACGGGTTGTGGCTCAGGTCGATGTGCACCAGGCCATGGGCTTCCTGGAACATATCGGCGGGCACGTGGCTGAGGTTGTTGTAGCTCAGATCCAGGTGGGCCAAGCGCTTGGCGTGGAGGAAGAGGCCCGGTGGCAGCTCCGTCAAGGAGTTGTTGCGCAGATCCAGAACCCGGAGCTCCATGTAGCACGTGAGGTAGCCGGGCGGCACAGTTGCGATGCGGTTGTGGGCCAGGCTGAGGTTGCGGGTGTCCATCGGTAGGTCTGGGGGCACGGAGAAGAGCCGCTGGCTGCTGCAGTCCACCACCTGGTTATGGCACGTACAAAGGACGGGGCAGCTGGCGCCAGCGTCCGAGCGCATCACCCCAGCTGCCAAGAGGAGGGAGACCAGCAGCATGGCTGGGTGGGGGGGCCCAGGCCAGGGCAGCTGGGACCAGGTGTCACCCATCTTAGGGAGCTGGCAACAGCAGGGCTGTAGGGAGCCCACTGGGGCTGAGGCTATGTCCATGAATCACAAGTCAGTGGCTCAGAAAGACAGCTACATCAGGGCCAGAGTCCTGGAAGGTGGGGCTTCTGGGCACGTGGTATCATGTCTCAAGCCTTTCCCCAGAGCCTCTAAGCACCAGAGGGATCCCTAGGTGAGATCCCCAGGAAGCCCCTTTTGGAGCCCAGGGGAGAGTAAATCCAGCTGAGGTCTCTCGGGGTCTGAAAAGATGATCAAAACTTGAGAGAGGAAGGAGCTGAGAATGGGGCTGGACCAGCTGCTAGCAGGTCGTGGAAGGGTCCCTGTAGATCTGTGCTCTTCTCACCCATGGCTGCTAGGTGCTTCCTCTCTGTATTATGTTGGAGAGGTGGTGGTGGTGGGTGGGGGGGGCAGAAGGACAGGAAAGGTGCCTGTCGAAGGTCCTGGTACATCTAAGAACCCCGAGCCCTGTCCCACGTCTGGGACCAATTAGGAGGCCAGGGCTGCATCTGGGTCTCTAGCACTGGAGGTCTCAGAAGCCATTCCTTCTGGTGGCCCAGGGGGCTCGAGTCCAAGGGGGTCCTGGGGTGGGTGTTTTGGGAAGGGAGCCTGGCGGGGAGTGGGTCTCCATGGGCCTCCTGGAAGCTTGAGTCCTCAGCCTTAGCATCTACTGAAATCCCCAAGAAGGCTCTTCTTTCCCCAGGTTGGGGAGGACCCTGAGTGACACACACTGTTGCCTGCCAAGGCTGGAAAGAGCCATGTGTCCTGGAGGTGCAGGATGGGGGTCAGCTAGGACCGCTTTGGCGACTTCTCCTGAGCCAGTGCCTCTCTCCCAGCCCAGCTCTGTGTTCAGCAGGCGGGGGCAGAATTCCCTCTGTCAACAAGGAAAGCACTCAGGCAGAGATCTCTAGTGCCCTCTCCTCCCCGCTGTCCCCTCCTAGGTTCCCTGCCCCCCTTCTTTGCCACAGAGTTCTCTGCGCACTGTGGGTCAGGTGGGGCAGCAGTGGGCTCAGACCCCACCCTCACGTTGTGGTTGCCCGTCCTCCTCTGGGATTCTGTCCTGGGAGAGATACATTTGCTTGTCCTCCTAGCCTCGCCCCTCAGCACCAAACAGCCCACCTTTGAGTAACTCTTTAAGAAAGCAGGCACACAAACGCAGGTTGCAGGTCGTTTGCATACCCCTTTCAGACACAGTTAGCACTCCGTCTCCCTCCCTCGCCCTCTCCCTCATTCTCTCTCTCTCTCTCTCTCTCTCACACACACACACACACACACACACATGCACACGCACACACATGCACATACACACATGCATACATTTTTCTCCTGTGAACCCCCCACATTTTGCCCTGCCCTGCACTCACACCTCCCAGTTTCCTGTACAGCTTTCTTCTGTAAACGCTCTTCTGCAGAGCCCCCTTTCCAGTCTGCCCCCCACCCGACTTCCACCCCCCCCACACCCTAATCCTTTCTACAAGCACCACACTCTGCCCCCCAGCGTGAGCCCACGCCCACATTTGGTCAGGCAGAGAGACGACCACATGATGACACACCCGGTGTCTTAGCCCCGCCGTCCACCCGCATCCCTTGTGGCCCCCAAATCCTCCGTGGCCCCTGGATGTCCTCACTTGTCCTCCCTCACCCCCTCGGTCTAGCACTGCCTCCCTTCCCAGCACTTCCAGCCTCCATCCCGCCCACTGGGAAATCACCCAGCTTCTTTATCCAGACCCATTTTTATGAACCCCAGGGTCTCGCCTTGCATTTCCACAGGCTCTCAGGAGCCCACTTACTCTGTTCCAAGGACACAGCCATCAATCTGCAGCAGACATGGGTCTCCCTCCCTCATCCTGGAATCCCGCTTGCTGCTTCAGGAGAACAGATTGCCTCCCCGGCACTTCCCCTCCCCCGGCCTCTCCTCCTCCATGGCTCCTGGATCCCGGGGCAGCATCCTCTGTGGTTTCCTGTCCTGTGCTCCTGGTGCCTGGCCAGTTCCCCTTTTTTGACTCAAAAGGGGAATCAGAGCGAGGATGCTTAGAAGAAAGTTCACAGAATCCGAATGCTTCTTCCCGAAACTCAGCTGGTGCTGAGGCTGCTGGGGTTTGTGGCTTCCGCCAGGTCTTCCCCTCCCTCCGCCTTCCTTTCCTCTCTCCCCCTCCTCTCTCCCTTTTTCGCTCCCTTTTTTTCCTCGAGGGCCAGGTACTGACGTTTCACTGTCTCTTAGCAACTGCCTCCACATCTCTGAGCAACAGGAGAGCTGGCTATGGACCCCACCAAGATGAGAGAGAGGAGAAGGAAGCAGTTGCAGAATTCACAGCCACCTGCTATGGGGAGGAGGTCCTAATGGTAGGGGAAGTGGGGCCTAGGGGGAGGGGGCAGGGGGCGGGGCAGGGGCAAAGGCAGAGGAGCAGGCAGGGGGAGAGGGCAAAGGGCCCAGTGGGAGAGGTTGGAGAGGGGGGCAAAGCAAGGATCTGGAATCTGAGATGGGGGAGGGCCCAAAAAAGAAAATAAAGGAGGGTTGGAAAGGGGAAAGGAATTCCTCCAGGGGTAGGGGGAGAAATTGGGGAAGGCATGAAGACATGAATAAGGATGGAAAGAAAGAGGAGAAGAGCTTGTAACCCGTTTGCTCATTTAATGGGATATATCTCTTCAGCCCATGTGTAGCATCTGCTTCCCTGAGTCTGAATGTATTTTGGTCACCAGGTACCAGGTGGCTGGTTGGACTGGCTCAGGGCTTGTCAGAGACAGTTATGGAAGGTGGGAATTTTTCTGTGTTCCTTAATTGTCTCTAAGTCCTGACCTCACAAGCTGGGAGAGTTTTGGGATGCAAAGGGCCAAGTGACAGGTCTAGGTGAGGTACCTGGGGCTGCAGATACACTCAGCTCTCTTTCTAGGAGAGCAGAAGGTTCCAGAAAACCTTGTAGTTTTGATCTCTTTCTCCAGGTCCTGAGGACTCTGTCTGCCATCCCGTTCTCACTTCTCCAAGCTCCCTATCCCTCCCCCCACAGACTGACCTCACATGAAGAAAAAGTCATTGCAACATTTCTTTTCTTGATGACCCATGGAATGAATTTCTAGCCACCTTGCCTTTGAAAAACCAGTCTCACCACTTGGTTTGGTCCAAGAGCTGGCTCATATCTTCATTTTAATAAAACTGTTTATTAAGCACTCACTGTGAGTCTGGTGCTTGGCTACACGATAGGCATATAGCTAGCTGCTAGGATGATGGGTGAAGACTTCATTCTTACAGAGGTCACGTTAGTCCTTTGTGTTCATCTATTTGATCTGGGGCCTCTTCTGCTTAAGTAAGATCTCAAGTCTTTGGGGAAAACCAAAATCGAGGAGCAGAAATCACCTGTTAGGTTGTACAGATTCTAGGCACATACAAAGTCCTCAAAATCATTGCCTTCCCTAACATGATTCTCTTTCTTTTATGGTCTTAGAAGTTCTGCTGTTAAGCATTGTCCTCATAATTATGCTCATTTTTAATCTTTCATGATCTATGGTGTCTGATGCAGACTAACATGGTAGCCACTTCATTAATATTGATATATTGAAATGGCCAAGGTAAATATGATTTGTGTCTCCTCCTCCCTTATAAAAGGGAATGGTTCTCCAACTCATTTATGAGCTTGGAAATAAAATGTTAATCTTAATGCACAAAACAGAGCAACACTCAGAGGCAAGTAACCCACTATAAACAAGGACTGTTGGCTTCAGTAAAGCAGAGCTAGCATGATGCATTATTAACATTCACTGAAAAATGAGAGAAGACATAATGATTTCAATAGAGACTAAGAAAGGTAATCAGAACATTTCAATATTTAATGTTGGCACATTAAAGGCACATTAAAAAAACAAGTGATAGAGAATGGAGGTTTTCTTCCTTTACATAATATGAAATTTATGTTTACTGTAAGAACAATAGTATGAGTAAACAAAAGTACCCGTGACAGTTTCCTTAAAAAATCCGATCTAGGCAAGAACACCTTGTTATATTTGAAACAACAGTTTTCTAGCCTGTACAATTGGGATAATAATGATGGTATTTAACTCATGGAGGTATTTTATGTTATATGAGTCGTTGTTAATAAAGCACTATGGATGTGTTTGTTAAATGAAGAAATAAAATGAAATACAAGGCAGAGTATAAAATTACTGAAATCATTATGCCGAAGGGAAAACAAATTGCACAGAAGTAGGAAAAGAAAGGAAAATATTCCACTTGCACGTGATTTGAATGTATTCTGGTGCAGAATAAGCATCAAAACCTTCAGAAAGCCCTCCATCAACCATTGCATATAAGACCATTATATACAATGTCTTCTGTTAAAAAAAAAAAAGTAAGGATAAATGGGACAGAAATCTTTTAAATGATCTTTTACCCAGAATCATTCTGTAAGTTAAGTATTAAAGCATTGTTTCCCAAACTGGTGTCTCATAGTACACTGTGTGCCATAAGAAAAATGGTTGTTCTCAAATAATTTGAGAAGTATTGAGTTATGGGGCACCTGGGTGACTCTGTAGGTTAAGTGTCTGCCTTTGGCTAGTCTCTGCTGGGGTCATGATCCTGGGAGATCAAGCTCAGTGTTGGGTTCTCTGCTCAGCGGGGAGCCTGCGTTTCCCTCTCCTTCTGCCTGCCACTCTGCCTACTTGTGCTCTCTCTCTCTCCATCAAATAAATAAATAAGATCTTAAAAAAAAAAAAAGAAACATTGAGTTAGACAAAATGAAACAGGTTACTTATTGCCAGATTTCTCAGGACCTTTAATGTCCAAATGGTCATGTGACACCCCAAGGCAAAGGACTGGGAAAGTGTAGGAAGGATGGATAATATCCAGTGTTATTCTCATGCAGTGTTTCTGGTTACTTCCCTTAGCAAGATGACTTTCTCCTACCTAGCAGCCTTGCAGCAGGAGTGATTCAATTTTGAGCCCCAGGAAAATGATAAATTATTACATACCACGGCATTTCGTGGTCTCCTGCGAGTTATTGAAACTGTGACTATTCAATCATGAATGTCAAGGATTTACTCTACTGGGAAAAATA